CAAAGGAGAAATGTGCGATGCACAGGAAATTAACTCTAACATGTCATTATGTGATAGTACATAGCATATTGAAATGTGAAATATGATAAAATGGGGAAAATAAATATGTAAGTGAAACTCCATACGACATATAAAATGGATAAATGTTTAAAAAATTGAAAGATATTTTGATATACATTTTTGTTAAATTAACATCTCTACAATCTTTATCACATGTAACAACTTTTAAACCAACATATAATTGACCGATCACTATTACACAAATTTTGTTCTTGATTTTTGTTTATCGTCATTGCATATGAAACAGTTAGACATAACGGTCATCTTTGAAACTTGATATCAATACTTTTTCTCTCATACATTCCTTTCAAAAGAATTCTTCCAATACATAATTTTAACAAAAAATAGTAACATCTCTCGGATACATTTAATCCATTCACTTAGAATAAATAATTTAAGAATGAAAATAATGTTAACTTAGATCATGTTTACTTCACTGTTAAAGTCACAGTTAAGTTAGTAAAACATGTGAAGTAACACACAGGCAGATTAAAAAAATACTTACTAACCGAAATAGGTGCAAGTACCACTTAGTAAGAATATCACCCCCCTAAGTTTTAATTAAGCCGAAGTTTAAGCTTTTTCAATTTCTGAATTATCCAACCATTCCCCTTTGCCTTACCCCCTTACTGTTACCCCTAATCCCTAACACTACCTGCCCTTGCTCGTACCATTCTCCCTATCCCTAATGTGAATACCTATAAGTCCAAATCCGACATCTGGACGGCCAGCCGATGGTGACCGAACATGTCCTTTTGATAATTTACTTTTCATATTTAACTTTCATCTTTTCACTTTTAGTTTTTTATTTCAAAAATAGCCAACTAGCTAGATCTCCTATCAAATCAATATGACTCTGTTTTCTTCGTCATTTTCTCTCCGCCCTTCCTTTCCCAGACTTTAGTCGGTCTCCCTTCCGCCCTTCTTCTGATTTTCTCTATCTGATAGGTCTTCACTTCCACAACGGCATGGCACTTCTCGAAGGCTTAATCAGGCTCCGCTGACAATGACTTCAGTCTCTCTCCAACCACAGGAGATGGAAGCCTTACGATTTTGACAGTAGCTCCGCTGCTTCTAGGCTCTGGCGCCGTCGCTTCTCGACTCCGCCGCCGTCACTCTTCGGTTCTATCACTCTGGTGCCAAAATTAAGCAAAGGATGGATTTCGACCTAGTTGCCTCTCATCGAGTGCGAAACAGATGCTATTAAGGTCCATCTTATATCTAGCTAGAGAGGTTTAATCGCTTGAAGCAGCTTTAATGTTTGGACAGTTTAATGTAAATTTACTTCATCATCTAAACTAAAGAGGTAAAGGATTGTATTATTGTATATAGATATATATGTCTTTTATTTTGTTCTCATGTGACGTAATAATTCCCTGCATTAGATTCATCTATGAAATCTAATTGACTCGTTTAAATTGTCTGTTGTATTGGAAATGAGGATTGCTCTCATAATTTTTAATTTTTGCAGGTCCTGAAACCCTTCGATTACTGTGATCACAAATTCCAACGGAGCCGCAGTTGGATTTGGGACTGGCGGCGGCTTCAGCCGAGGTGGGGTTTTGGCCTGATGCGGATGAATTACTTAGGTCTTGGTGCAGGTAAAGATGCTATCCAAACAATAGTTTTACATATTGATCAACTCAAATTACTATTGATGAGAAATCAGACACTAATACATTCTCCCAAATTTTAAATGTTGTAACAAAGGTGGAGCCTGTGGCATTGAAATGGGGCTTGGGTGATGGTTTGGTAGTTGCTTTGGCACTAAGTATAGGAATTCCAAGTTACATTTTTAGTGTTTTATGCATGAAGGTGAAGATTATTTGAACCATAAAGATAATATCATATACTTTGTACCAGAAAAGAAAGTTATTAATAGATATTAATGATCAGTGTTAATGTATATTTGTTTATTTGTTTGCTGTTGAATTGTTTTTCCATTGTAGGTAAGAGAAAGAGAGAAGAGGCTTCCCAAACAATGATGGAATGCTTGTGAGCAACTGTATCTAGAGATCTAGCTTTCTTTGCTTTTCTCTTGTCCTTTGCCATATTATTGTGATTTATAAACCTGGTGTGATATAATGTTGTGGATTTTTAGGGTCAAGCTGCACACTGCAATAGGATATCAGTGTGGATGAGAAGTCCATCCTATATTCCTTTGTGCCGTTGCTAGTAATACATATACTTCTTTGTCCAAGACTTCAGTGATCTTCTTCACTTTTAATTCCTTTGATGTGCTGAACTTCTTGCAGGGGATCTAACATGCTGCCACAGAACCATTTCCCAACCTTGTTTGTATTTCTTTGGGCTTCATTACTTACATGTGCATGTTATTGCTTTAAAAGATGCCTATGTATTATTGTAAAATTCATTAGTTTATACTAGTATTCATTTTAGATGACCATTTGTACTATATTATTTTCAAACAACATCGTTTTTTGTTGTTGCTTTTGTATATTGTTGTTACTTTTTCCCTCCGAAAGTGTTGCTTTTTGTTGTATTTGTTGTGTCATCATATTGCTTATTGTCATCATATCACTTTATTGAGATCTATGTTTATCTTTGCTACTTTTTTTAAGTGAAAAAATCACATATGAATTCATATGCAATCACCTAAATTAATATACTTGGATTTATAAATATATACTAACCCCATGAAACATAAAGAAACAAAAAAAAAATTACAATTATCAACAAAAAGAAACAAAAAGAAACATTAGGTAAGATAATATATGAAACAATAAAAAACAAAAATTTTACAGTTATCAACAAAAAGAAACAAAAAGAAACATTAAGGAAGAAAATATATGAAACAATAAAAAACAAAAAATTTAGAGTTATAAACAAAAAGAAACAAAAAACAACAAAAACTAAGAATAAAAATGATAATACTAATTTTAAAAATTAAGTTGTTTAAGCAATATTACGGAGTACATTATAAAATTCATATTTTTTTTTATTCTTTTTAATTTTTAATTATTTTTAAAGTTCATTATTTTAATTTTTCAAATTTTAATTTTCCGAGTTTTTAAAGTTTACCTCTTTATAGGTTACATTAATTTTCTGATATTTTATATTTTTGGAATATATTTTTAGTTTTTAATTACTTATAAAACTGATTTTAATTATCTTGAATGTTCTCAAGTTTAATTAACTTTTTTAATATTTATGTTTTCCAGGTTGTAAATAGAACCACTTCTTCACAAATTTTTCTAATTAGTTTTCATATTATTTAATTGTTTCAAAGCTTTTTTGTCTTATTTTACACATTTTTCGTTAAAGACTACACACTTCTTAATAAATTTAAAGTTTTTATTTTTGTTAACTATTTTAATATTTTTATTAAACGTCCATTTTTTAATATTTTTACATTTTGTATTTTTATATAAATTATATTAACTATTTGATAAATTATATTACAAAAATCGTTTTTGTACCGTTTTACAGTTTTCCCACATTCTTAACTATTTCATACTTTTTATGTTAATCCTGAGTTGTTTACTTTAAGTTTTTCTATACGTTTTTATTCATTTTCTTTTTTAAATTTAATATATAATCTTCCAATTTTGCATTTTTTGGATTTTTTTATTTTGATTTTCTTTGTGTTTTTCAAAGTCAATTCGCATTTTTTAATTTTATTCTTTTAAAGCATCATCAACTATATGTGTTAATGAATTTTTACATTTTCAATTCAAAATAAAAAGAGGAGTTCCTACCTTACGTGCATGGGTCCATCTGCGAGGAGAAGAAATTTGGGTCAGTGGGCTTCATACGTGGGATGGTCCATTTTTGAAATGAAACTTTGAAGTAATCTATATTTGAAAGAAACTTTTAAGAATCACAAAAGTGATATTATTTTCATTTTTAGTCTATTTGTGAAAAATTCTCTAATTTAAAATGCTTATTTGTTTGATCCGCTTGAAAGTTTTGACTTGTTTGAGATTTACACATAGTTTTAGAGCCCCTTTCATAACACTACTCTTTGATGAATGAGCTGGTGTTGAAATATGTGAAAGTTGGATGAAGTGGTTAGATTGCACGATTCTACTGATTTATGAAAAAAAATATAAAAATATGAAAATAGTTAAAATAATCTTCTACAACAAATTCAGTCAATACGGTCAGAAAAGTAACTATAACTTTAGTTATTCAATTGTATATGAAATTATGAATTACTCCCTCCATCCCCCTATAATTGTCCCAATTCCGATTCACTTGGTCAACACAAATCACTCTTAATCTCTTACTTTATGTATCAAATTTTTATCAAATTTTGTTCTGGTTTTTACGGCTTTGTAAAGCTTTTAATGTAGTTTCTGATTATGTAATTTTTTTTCTAAAAATAATTTAAGTGCGGACAGAGATTCGTTTGTTTTATCATCGGTGGGTCAAATATCATAAACCGCAATGAGACAATAATAGGTAGACGGAGTATTCTTTAAGACTTTAACTTAATTTGACTTTGGATTTTTTTGGGTTATGGTGAACGACAAATTTTACCTATAGTTAAAAAAATCTTGTGTTTTTTTTTTAAACTATGATCCTCCCCTGCCAAACATTATATTAAAAGATACTCCCTCCGTTTCAGTTTCTTTGACACGGTTTGACTTGTCAAGAATTAAGGAAAAAATGTTACTGAGGGGTAAATTTTACTGCAGAGTACATTGTTTGGCACCGTTTGAACACTTTTTGGCACTGTTTGGCACTGTTTTGCACTATTTTAGTAAAGATTTGTTTACTAAATAAGAAAATAAGGAAGTGTGTCAATCATTTTGAAACAACCAAAAAAGAAAAGTTTGTCAAAGAAATTGAAACTGGGTAAATATATGTGTGCATCGCCGGGGAACTAAATTAGTCTGAATTATTTTGAAATAATCTATACTTTAATCATTTAAAACATCTCACTAATAGTTGGATTATTTCTTCAAAAAAAAATAGTTGGATTATTTTGGTCTACAAGCCAAATATCATAAGCCATTAAGCCCAACTCGGTCGGCTAGGCACATCTGAGAATGTTCTCTGTATAGCGAAAACTGCAAAGCTGAAGAGAAAGTGAAAGAGAAACGCGGAATCTATGACGACCCGTATTGCTCCAGGTGTAGGGGCCAACCTTCTCGGCCAACACTCCGCCGAGCGCAACCAAGACGCCACCGCGTACGTCGGCAATCTTGATCCTCAGGTTTAAAATAATTTAGGGTTTCTCTTTTCCTCACCCTCTTGTACGCAAATTGAGCATTGCCTATCAAAGTTATACTTCCATAGGACCTTGTACTTCCCCAGAGTTATCATACTTCTGCAGTTGTACTGTAACTACAATACTTGTAGTATAGAATGTTGACATTGTTTCAAAAGGCTTGATTTTATGTAATACGAGCACTGTTTCCTTGGTTGTGGATATGAAGTCGATACTTTGCCAACATCATTCACAGTTGTAATTTTAGTGTTGAGGTTTACTTGAGCAAATTGCATACTCGGTATTGTGTAGATTTTTATTTTTCACTTGGCTTTAGCTGAGGTTTTTTTTATTATCAATCTATTACTTAGTAGAAAAAACTAGTGAGATTCAAGGAGGTTAGGATACTTCATTGCTTTAGATTTTTTTAAAGGAAACCTTTTAAACATTTGTGTTTCCCTATTTGTTGTCTGTGTAAAAAATGTTAGAGCTTGTTTGGTAGCACGAAAATTGGCTGATTTGGCTGATTCTGCTGAAATTTATGAAGTTCTACCTGAAGTGGCTGCATTGGCTGATTCTGCTGATTTAAGAAAAAAATACTTTTAAAATATATTTTATTAATAAAATAAAGAAAAAATTATATGTAAAAATAGCTAAAATGGTCATCTACAGTAACTTCAGCCAATACAGCCAGAAAAGTAACTCCAACCTTACTTTTTCTGCTTATTACACAATTCAGCGCGCGAAATCAAAAGTTACGTGTTTGGTGAAAAAGTTGGCTGATAAGCCTGATAAGCCGATAAACAGTGTTACCAAACGGCCTCTTAATATTCTAATGTGGGCTTCTTAATAGTGACCTGTAGAGATTGTGTGGTTTAACTATAATATTGCGGCTTTAATCAACTTTTAAATGTTAAATATCCTGTTTTCCGGCAGTGTGAGGATCTATTCTAAAACTTGCCAATGGCAGTACCTTCGTGATTTCAAAGGAGACCATAATCTGAAAATCTTAACTATTTTTATTATCCTTTCTTCAATTTCATATTTCTGTCAATAAATATTATTGTTTCCTTTGCCAATTTGCAGGTTTCAGAAGAATTATTATGGGAGCTGTTTGTTCAAGCTGGCCCAGTTGGTATGCTTGAATAAACATGCACCCAGACAATATCAATATAAGCTTTTTAGCACTTCAATAATTGGTTGTGTTCCATTAACTTGGTTTTATATTAATTGCAGTTAATGTATATGTCCCCAAGGATAGGGTCACTAATGCTCATCAAGGATATGGCTTTGCAGAGTTTCGAAGTGAAGAAGATGCTGACTATGTAACTGTTCAAGCTGCTCTTGGCATATTCATTTGCAACCTATTTTCCATCAATTTATTCAATTTAATTTCAATGGTATGATCCCTTTATTAAATAATGCAGGCAATAAAGGTGTTAAATATGATCAAGCTGTATGGGAAACCGATACGAGTTAATAAGGTGTGAATTCCCTTCCTTATATGAGTTTTGCTATAACATGACAAAGTTATGTTGTTCATTTTCAAATCAGGTATCACTTTTTTTGATAGTTTGCATTAAATTTGTTTTTCAATGATCTATTTTTTCCCTCTGGTTGTAGGCCTCACAAGATAAGAAGAGTGTTGACGTTGGTGCTAACCTGTTTGTTGGGAACCTTGATCCTGTCAGCACCTAAGCATTAGCTACTTCTTTACCTACCCTATTTATATTTGTGCACCCAGGAGTTCAATCTTTTATTCAAGCGTGTATCAATTCATAGTTGGAAGAGTTTTTTCCATCTATGTCATTGATGAAAAGTGTTATGTATGAATTCCACCTTTACTGTGTGCAGGATGTAGATGAGAAGCTTCTGTACGATACATTCAGTGCTTTTGGAGTAATAGTTTCAAACCCGAAGGTTTTCTACCTCTCCTTTTTTTTTACATAATATTTTTTTCGCCTTCTAGTTCAGCTATAGGTGAGGAATGCTTTTGACCCATCAAACATCATGATAGGCATAATGTTGGGGTTCTGTTAAGGAAGAAGCTATTTACCCTTGAGCGAGCATGTCTATCATACTTCTAATCTTAGATTGATCTTCTAGTTGGTTTTTAACATCTTAGATACTTGTTGCAGATAATGAGGGATCCTGAGACTGGAAATTCTCGAGGTTTTGGTTTTATTAGCTATGATTCGTTTGAGGCATCTGATGCAGCCATTGAGGTAATTGTATTGTCCGCTGATATGTCCTATAGTAGAGCACTGACCATATTATTATCATTAAAAGGCATAGAGCACTGACCATATTATTATCATTTAAAAGGCCTGCTTTTGGCTCCAAAAGAAAACATGAGCTATGATTCAAACATTTCTCCCATAAATCGATATTCAATACAAATCTAGGATAAACGATCAGTATATGTTTTGACAGTTGTGGCTGGGAGAGGGGATTTTCTGACTTTAGTTATGGTTTATATTTTTAAATTCCGGATATAATTTTATTTCCTTTCGACTCTCTATTACTGAAATTTTTAAATAATTTTTTAAAGTCTAACCATTTTACATCGAATTCTTGAAATTTATGTTGATGCATGAAAAATTATTAATAATTGTGTCATGTGCTTTGTATAGTCGATGACCGGCCAATATCTTTGCAACCGTCAGATCACTGTTTCGTATGCCTATAAGAAAGATACAAAGGGAGAACGTCATGGCACACCAGCAGGTTAGTTTATTCATTTAAGTTCTACAAGATGTACTACAATGGTTTGTTCGAGTTTTTTCCCATGGAGGGGTGTTTTTCAAACTTATTTCCCAAACTAAGGTACTTTTAAACTTATTTCCCAAACAGGGGTATTTTTTGCCATGTCACCTTAGTATCACTGAGGGGCGCCACATCAGCTTATCCACATCATCCCATCAATTCCATGTCATCAATTTTGAGAATTTAGGTGTGCTTCTAAAATATAGAAAAAAATGAAGCTAATAAGATTCGAACTTGGGTGGAACACAAGAAAGGCATGTATGTGAACCATTATACTACATCATACACTTGTTAACAAATGCCTTTTAAGAAGTATAAATCATGTATCCTTCATCCCGGGAGTGCACTATTTCTTAATCGCGTGTATTATTCGTTCCTTTAGAAATATCTCTCTTTACCAAACAATAAAAAATGTAATAATAAAAAACTGAATTTGAGTTATTCAATTAAAAATCTTATTAAAACTTATAATAAAAACATAATTTGCTAATTTAATTTGAAAAATAAAGAAATATTTTATTTAGAATACAAAAAATTAATCTAAACTTATAATGACAAAACACAATTTGGAATATGTATTTTTTTAAATAACTTAGCTTCAAATGAAATAAAATCAATTAAAATAAATGTCATATTTCTAAGTTACTTATTTCTAAGTTACTTATTGCATGAAATTTACTTATTTTTTATTTTATTTACTTTTGATTTATTTCAAATAACTTTTAAATTATATACTTCAATTTTTTTATAAATTTAAATTACATTTTTATAGAATTAAATATCGCAAACTAAGCTTTTCGTTGTGATTATTTCATTATAGCAGCTCAACTCTTCTGGACTCGGTTCAATTTTCTCATTGATTATTATTGTTTCAAATTCAAATACAACACTCAAATTTGAACTAAATTGTAACATGTTAAATTTTAGTGAAATTTGCAATACAAATACTTTAAGTCGAAGAATGTATACATTTAGCTGTGTATTACTCATTGCTTTAAAAATATATAGCTTCTTTTTAAAATAATTAAAAAATTATGCAAAATACTAGGTTTGTGATAATTAAAAATAAAGACTTAATTAAAATTTATTGTTACTAAATGTTATGAAAGGCTCTATCCCACCCCAATTTAAAATCAGATACTATTCATGTCAAGAAAATCATATAATATTTATCTAAGAAAGAAAAAAACTTGATAAATTTATAAACGAAAAATGCTTGGTTCTGAGGCGGAGTCGAGCTGAGGCTGAACAAAATTGAGCTGTTAGAGAATTTTCATAAAGAAAAATTTATACGATATTTTACATTAATATTAAACCTTTTATAGAATTTAAAGTGGACTAGCATGAAATTTACTTATGTTTTATTTTATTTTATAAGTTTTTTATTGTTATATTTTTAATTGTTTGGGAAAGGAAGAAATATACTTCGTATTTCTAAAGGAACAAATAATACATGCGATTAAGAAATAGTGCACTCCCGGGGTGAAGTATACATGATTTATACTTCTTAAAAGACATTTGTTAACAAGTGAATGGTGTAGTGTAGTGGTTTACATACATGCCTTTCTGGTGTTCCACTCAGGTTCGAATCCTGTTAGTTTCATTTTTTTCTATATTTTAGAAGCACACCTAAACTCTCAAAATTGATGACATGGAATTGCTGGGATGATGTGGATAAGCTGATGTGGCGCCCAGCAGTGATACTGAGGTGACATGGCAAAAAATACCCCTGTTTGGGAAATAAGTTTAAAAGTACCTTAGTTTGGGAAATAAGTTTGAAAAAACACCCCTCAATGGGAAAAAACTCGGTTTGTTCTTAATTGTCTAGTCCATAAAACTTTTTTCCCAACCTTTGTAAACTTTGTCCAGAGAGAGTTTTAGCTTCAAGTAATCCCACCACCCAGAAGAATAGACCCCACACCCTCTTTGCTAGTGGACCTCCAACGCTCCCCCCAACCGGACAAGCTAATGGTACGGTTGTGGCCCCACCTCCTCCGGCAATGCGTCCTCCACCACCTATTCCGGCAATGCGTCCTCCACCTCACATGCAGCCTCCCAATATGTACCATCAGCCAATGCAAATGGCTCCACCACCACAGTCATGGCAGCAGGGTCAGCATGCGCCACAACCAGGCATGGCTGGGATTCCACATCACCAAATGCAGCAATTCGGAAACATGGGACCGCCACCTCAAATGGCTCCACCACTTAACAGGCCCCCGCCACCACCTATGGGTGCGCCTCCTCTATGGCGACCACCACCTCCTCCACAGCAGCTTGGTGGTGGACCCCATTCATATCCTCAAATGTCAATGCCGCCGCCACCCCAAAACTAATTCATCCTTGGGGTCTACAATTTGCGGATTATCAGCAGAGGAAATTGATCGGGAACTATTCATCTTCCATTTATCCAGCCTGGTTTACACCCGGAAAAGCTGACCCGCTATATTACTTCTCTGAAACGTCCCACCAGATGAATGTGATATTTTCATTTCGTCTGACTTAATCCGAGTTTAGTTTATGGTCCCAATGGGTTTGCAACTTACTGATAATATCTGCCGTTATTGATAGGTTGTATTGTATTAAATGCTTTCTTGGTTTTATTGGGTCACAAATAATTCTATTGTGGCGATAGCTTGGATAATATTGTGCTCGGTAGTTTTTTCTTTTGAAAGGCATCACGTATCTAGAGGAACTTTAACATTTAAAGAAATCCAAATCAATTAAATACAAACCATAAATTGTATCTGCAACTTTAGCCAAAACATGCTCGAGTTGAGAGCAATATTTAGTGATGTGAAACCTGAAAGTTTTCCTAGTTATTGGCCTCTGGCTTTCAACTGAATTCTCAATAACTCTTTTGTATAATTCCAAACAAGTTCAAGTTAGGCATGGACCGGTTCCGGGTCGGGCTGGGCTCTGGACCGGTCCAAAGTCCAAACCGGGCTTTTGTATTGGGGGTTAAGGCCCGGAACCGGCTCGGGATTCTACCGGGCCAGGTCAAGCCGGGTAGCGTTTTTTTTGTTGCTTTTCTAATTAATTCCCACCCCACACCCCAAACCCCTCCAAAACACCCATCCCAACCCACCTACCATCCAAAGACTTTGAAAAAAAATTGACCCGGCTCAGCCCGGCCGGTTCTAAAGAAACCTGCAGTCTGAGCTCGCCCCCAAAACACCCCCGGGTCGGGTCCAAGGCCCGGTCCCGGTCCCGGGCAACCGTGCCGGTCTGATTCCCGGGCCGGGCCGGGCAGACCAGAACCGGTCTATGCCTAGTTCAAGTACCAAGTTCACTGAGTTTGTTGTCAAGTAAATAATAATCTTTCAAACCCGAGTAGAACACTATTCTGACTTGATGCGAATGCATTTGAGTAGTTACCTTTATAATCATTACCATTATTATTATTATTATTATTATTACATTTTGATGATAATCATATTATTATTTATTAAAAAATAATAGAAACACGTCAGTGTTAAATTTATTAGCATCCATGAAAACAATAGTCAACAAAAACTACTGTACTTAAAATTATACTACCTCCGTTCCCATTTTAACTTCCAAATGGGTTTGGCACAAAGTTTAAGATAGTGGATATTGTGTGGTGGAGAGTTGTGCAGATGAGAGAGAAATGTGTAAGAAATGTTGTGAACCACAAATTCTTTACCAAAAAGAGAAAGTGGAAGTTTTAATTGGAACGAAGGAAAAAGGAAAGTTGGAAGTTTATTTAGGAACGGAGGGAGTATATACTACCTTCATTCTATAAAATTCTTCTCACTTTGACTTGGCATGGAGATTAATTTATGGTTATGGTTGTGTAAGAAAAAGGTGAAATGAATGTGAACCACACAAATTGTTCAAAAATGGTAAGTGGGCAAAAATTTTTGGAACGGCCCAAAAAGAAAAGTGAAAGGAATTTTATGGGACGGAGAGAGTAAGTTTTTGGATAAATATAGTGTGTAAATCACGTATATCATACAAAGTAATTTGTTAAAAAGGTGAACATAAAACATTAATTGAATGAATGTAACTATGTGTCTATCTAAGAGCGAAAAGTTAATTGACATGTAGATCTTTTATAGAATGAAGGTTTGCAACCGAGTGAAGTGAGGTTTACAAGAATCGTTTACATTGAAGAGGTCGGTGAATTACACATCAAAATTTATGGTGCTCTCAGCTCGAAGAGTAGGGGCTTTTGACTGATCAGCTAAGTTAATAGACGCAGACACCTGTTAAGCAAAATGTTGAAAAAACGGATGAGAGATCCTAACAATCATGAATTTACATACACAAACATTCAAGTGTTAAAGACATTTTTTCAATATAAATGAGCACTTCCAGTACTGTTAAGCATTTTCTACACTGATGATAGGACATGCTCAGACACCGGCTTTGGCCACTGGTGGAGAACTGAACATAGTCTTCTCCCTCGGTAGCGTAAAGGATTGTTTGGTTTAGTGATTTCATTATACTAATTTATCGCTATTCCCTATTTTGTTTAAATACTAAAAATAACTACTCTATGTGATTACTTAGCTAATGTATTTCTATATACTCCATATGTTTTTTACTTGAATGTATTTTCAGTATCCAAATGTCAAATAATTAAACGATTAATATCACCATTCCATTCCATTTAACATTCCAGAACCAAACAAGCCCTAAGGGTTACTGTGGGATTGCAGTAGTAGTAGTAGTTTATATCCAGTTATTCACAATTAAAACTATTTAAAAGCAATTACTTGGTAAATTTGTCATATTTATTTGCCCTCATTAACAATTAACACCATCTATTGGTCACGACTCATGATTACTGGCAATTTTAGAACATCTCCATCTCTTGGACTTCACTACTATCCCTACTTCCCAATATTCATGGAATTATTAGTATTCGGTTCCGTGTTGGATCAGCCTCTAAAAATCCAACCCAAGGGAAGAACAACTTTGTAAGGAGGCATTTGTTACTTTCTCAGGAGAGTGGTGAAATGGGATTTAATCCACTTTTTATGTGAGTCCACATTCCCACTTTGAATAAAAGGTAAGGGAGGATCGACAGATAGATTCCATATCAGCTAAAATGCATTCCGTTAGAACAAACACTACCGCAGTACAGATATGAATGAATAAAAGCATTCTGCAATGGCCAATCAACGCATGAAGGATGAAAGGATACCTTAAAGCTTCCACTCATACTTGTAACGCTGCACCAGTCCAACTCCAAAACCTTGCTTGAACTTTGATAGGTAGCCCTAACCACATCATTATCAAAAACTCTTCTGGAAAGGGAAATGTCCCAAGCATTTTGACCGAAATCATAGCTCGGCTCAAATGTCACTAGTCCGCCATGCTTGTAGCTGTACTTCACCTTGCAGTTCCCAGTATTAGGCTCGTAATTAGCGGATAATATGTTTGCAGAGTCGATCATCAATTTCCCATCCAGTTCCATTCGATTATCGCCCCTCCAGTGCGAGTACGTCAAACTCAGCTGCTTCTCTAAAACCCTAGCCGAATTCATAAACTGAAATCGCACATCCTGTACGATACAAGTTGTTAGAACAGAAATACTAATCTAAATCTCAGACAATCCTCTAACAAAGTCAGAAAAATAAAAAAGTCATTTACCTTTTTCGGAATACTGTAGTCGATGGAGAACAAACCAGGCTTTTCTACCGAGACAGAGAGGTCGTCGAAGGATGGGCCGGAGGTAATGGTCGTGTTGGCTTTGAACTCGACGTCTCCGGCGTCTAGGATTGCGGAGGCGACGGCACCGCTGGTGCCATCCTCGTAGCAGCCTCTAAGCGAAGTTCTTATCATTTGCGCGCACTGCTGTAATCGGAAGGAGCAATGAAAGAGCTGTAGACCAATTGGCAAAGATTGAAAATGAGAATTTTGAAAAGGGGTTTGAACTGGAGGGAACAAATGGCGTAACGGCGAGAAGATCGAGGCGAATAAGCCAATGGCTTTTCCATGGGTCGGGGCAAATTCGAAATGTGGTATCTTGATTTTGTTTGGGTTCATTGCAATGTTTTCTTTTGAATCCAAATTTGCAGGTTTGGTTTGGTTTGATCTGATCTTGTTTGGTCTGGTATAGTCTTATTTGATAAATATCTTATTTCTGTGTATTTTATAACTATGGAAGTCTGGTTTTGGTTTAGTCTGATCTGATCCGGTCTGGAACCGAAAACAATCCAAAATAAAACATTTTAACTAGAATATCGTTCGACAACAATATGATCATATTTTACATTGTTGTGTTTACTAAAATACTTTATTTGCCTTCATTATTCGTATTTAGAATATAAATAAATAATTTAGATGTGAAAACACATGTTTATTCTATGAGTACTTTTTGAAGAAACATATATGCTTCTAAATGTATCCTATGATGGACATATTGATTTGAGTTTGGATTCAATTCTATTGAAACACATTAGGAGTATGATTATCAATGACGGGGCCACTCTTATTCTAAGGTGTTCACATTCACACTCAAAATCTATGCAAGTATAATTATCTTTAAATTTTTAGTTGTAAAAAACATTGAACACCTAAAACTTAAATTTCAAATCTTCCATTGATGATTATCCTTATTTATCAAAGAAAATCCATATTATGTTTTGATTTGAATCGGTTCGGTTTTGTGCAGTTCGGTCGATTTGGACTTGTTAGTTTTTAAGGTATATTAAGATAATGAATATTTTAGTTCGATTTCGGTTTGATTTGGTCAATTAAAACGGATTTGCCCATCCCTAATATATACTTCGTACACCATAAGCATGAGAGGCTCTTTGAATTTTTATATACAAATGTTAATATACGAACTACATAATGTTATATTGGAAAGAGGCTCTAAAATATTCTAATTAATGAATGATTGCTTGGAGGATGACACAACAAAAAATTTCATAATTGTATCTTTGAAATGAACTCTCTCCGTTCCATTTAAAAGTTCTCGTCCACTATTCTCCCGTCAACGTGCATTGTTCTTAATCTTTTACTTTATATATCAAACTTTTATCAAATTTATATTTTCTTGATCTGGCTTTGTAGCGGTTTTAATGTAGTTTCTGAATATATAAATTTTATTTACCTAAATTAATTATACTAATGACAGGGATCAGTTAACTTTATTGTCAGTCAAACGTCATAAACCATGTGGGAACGTTTAAATGGGACAAAGGGAGTATTATTTATAGATTTTTCGAGATCCAACATGTACCAGATTTGTATATTGACGGACTCATATAGTTCGTTGGGTCAGTCTAATTCGAATTTCACATCACCTTAGACCTTTACTAGTTTTTTAATTTGGGTAGTAAGGATGTTTTTACTTAGACTGTAATTCCTCCCAGACCAGACCAAACTAGACCAGACCAGACCAGACCAGATCAAACCAGACTTGGATAGTTATAAAAATACAAAGAAACCAGATCAGACCAGACCAGACCAGTCCAACAAATTACCGTCCAAGGAAAAACATTCTAAATGGTCACTGTTTTAGGATGGGTTTCAGAGACGACACGGCCACCTTCAGCGTACATGGCTCCTGGAGCCCATTAGCCATCACACTAATAATGAGTCCACCCTTCTATTAGATTTTCAAATTGTCCATAATTCAAGCAGGGTCGGTCCTAGAAAAAAAAGGAGGCCCTGTGCAAGAGAAAACATTAAACCTTTTTTCCTTTTAATAAATAAGAATCATTATCTATCAAGATGATAAAATGAAAATAGTAATTAACTATAAAAAACTTATGTAAAAAACAAGTTACTACATAGTGACTAATAATTACAAACTCAAAAAATAAAATTATTTACTTATAAAAGTATAATAGTGAAACAAATACAAATTTAACAACTTAATTGTCCAATAATATAAATTTATTAAATCAATTACAGAAAGATCATATAACCATTCGATGCCCTTTTTGTTGGCAGAATTACCTTGAGCTATATATACTACATAATACTTCATATTATTCATTATTTTTGGGCCTTTATTTTTATTGGCTTCTGTGCCATTGCACTTGAAGCACATGGTCAGGATCGCCCTTGAATTCAAGTACTACAAATTAGCCGAGGCCCCTTGTGGAATAATGTCAATGGTCCAAGAAAAATGTTACAGATGAGCCATAGAAGAGGTTTTACCAATTTTTGTACCCATATCTAACTGGAATCAAAACTTTAATACTTCATCCGTCCCGCTATAATCGTCTCGTTTTTCTTTTTCCATCTGTCACACTAAATTTGTCTCATATCATATTTGGTAATGTTTGTGTGACTATAATTCATTCTTACTTTATTCTCACATTATCGATTTATTATCAACTACATAACTCTATTTGTTTTAAAAACCACCACATACTTCTTTGTTCCAATCACAGGGAGACAAAGGTAATATAAAATATTAAAACTTTTTCAAAAAGTTTCACTCTTTGATATGAAATGATAAAATAAGATGACACTCCATCCTTGAGTGGAGATTTGATTTAGATAATTGTGAATACTCTATACATATATATGGACTTTAATTCGAGACTTATCTTTTGTGACACTCGTTTCTATCGGTTGAGCTAAGCTCATGGGCCTTGATATGAAATGAAACATGTTGCAATTTTATATTAAGCTCGATGTCAAATGTCATTGTGGACATATAAAAATTATTGGGCCAAAAGTTGAAACACGATTTTTGTTAAGAATATACGAATAATCCTTCGTGATTTCGTCGATTCTTAATAAAATAAATCCAAAAGTTGAAGAACGTTCGAAGATCTGAAGAACGAAACTTAAAGATTCGAAGATCTGAAGAACAAGACTTTGAAGATTTGAAGATATAAAGAACGAAACTTTGAAGATTTGAAGATACTCATATGAAGATTGAATCAAGATTCAATTGAAGATCAAGCCACATATCCCGGGAGGCCCTTAAACAGAAGATCAAGCCACAAACGGCCCTTTTGTTGAAGAACAAGCCACTTGAAAACCGGAGGCCCTTCAAGCTGAATTCTTAGTTCAAGAATATTTGAAGATTCAAAGAACGAAGATTCGAAGATTCGAAGATCTCAAGAACGAAGATTTGAAGATCTGAAGAACGTTCGAACGTTTGAAGGATTAAAGATTTAATTTTAAATTAATTTCTTTAATTATATTTATGTCAAATTGCAAGTGAAGAATCAGAGGATTCATATTTAGAGATAGTACCCAATATTCTCACATATTATTATTTGCGATCAATTTTAAGTAAATACTTAAAATTTGTTTCACAGTCATATCAACAACTCATATCATTTGACACATGAGCTCAAATATTCATCCTCATGATCAACATCACTCTAAAATATTCAATCCAAAATTTGTACTCCATATCTCATGAATCTACCATAAAAATCTACCATAGAATTTGTTTGATGGGCATATTTTTCGGCTTTTCACGCTTATCAACTAACATTTTAATCAAACACGTAACTTTTGATTCCGCGTGCTAAATTCTGTAGTAATAAGAAAAACTAAGTTTGAAGTAACTTTTGTGGTTGCATTAGTTGCAGTTATTGTAGATTGTCATTTTAGCTATTTTTCATGTAGTTTTTTCTTTATTTCATTAATAAAATATATTCAAATATAATTTTTACATAAATCAGCAGAATTAGTCAATCCAGACACTTCAGCCAAAATTTCATAAATTTCAACAGAATCAGAAGATGCAGCCGATTTTGATATAATTACCAAACATGCTCATAATATTTCCGTCCGTCCCTTATAATTTTAGTATCCATCCTTTCCAGATGTTCAAAAAACTTTATCACCTTTTCTTTTAATCAATAAATTTGTGGTTAATTTTATTTTTTTTTATTTTGTACAAATCTAGATCACATACTACCTCTGTCCCAAAAAACTTTGTATGTCATTTTCAAAACTTTGACCGATTATATCTTTTTATTGAAAAATATTTATAATATAAAAATTATGTTGAAATGTTCTTTGTTAAAAGTACTTTCATAAATGTATAAAATTTATAATTTCCAAAATATTAAACCTAATCAAAATCAATGTTCAATTTTTTTGATATGGCAAAGTTTTTTAGGACGGAGGTAGTATTTTTTATTATTATTTCTCATATTAATCAAACTTAACAAAATTTTGAAGTACGGGAAAGAGTGTCACTTAGGCCAACAAAAAAAACAATTAACTGAAAAATGATTCAAGTGGTGACCCCAACTTTCATTTTACTTTAATTCTTGTTTTAGTTTACAATACCCAAACATATAAAGCCCATAGGATAATTTCTTGTTCAAAACTCATTAGACTTTTATAGAACACTAAACTTTCATTTCGCGACTGTAAGTTTGTTCTGGCTTCATTGGCTAATTTGTTTAAAGATATGACTATTTTGATTAATATTTCACCAAGTTCAACCTTTTTAGTGTTAACAAATTTCATCATGGTTACAAGTACTAATCACTCATTCCTTCTGTTTTTGGCTTACACGCCCATTTACACACCAACACCAAATGTATTTTGTCCGTGTACAAACAAGTGTTATTGATTAAGGAGAGTGTATGTGACTCTGAACTGTCTGAGCACAAAAAAAAATACTTTTTAAAATCATAGATCTCATTTTATTAAAATGAAAATCAATTATGTGTGAACAGATAGTAGACTTTGACGTGCAGTGTAATCGGGTGTTCAAACGAGCGTCTAGAAGTAGCATTTTTTATTAAAATAAAAAAAAAAACGAATGGAAAACAAAGCTGAATGGGAGTAACATTTTACGGAGTATTACCCACCAAGTACTCCATATGGCACTGGCTGGATCAGTACAAAAGGTGTGCCTCCATTCCGACAGATTGGCTTCCCATCAAACCAAACACAATAAAGAACAAATTTGCATTATTTCTGCAACTTTCTGCACACTCTTTGATCAATCCCCACTGATTTCTGTGTCTGCTCTCTTACGTATAAAC